CTCACCGTCAGTCAATACAACCTCATCACCAGTCAACACAACGTCAGCACCAGTCAACACAACCTCGTCATCAGTCAACATAACCTCATCAACAGTCAATGCAACCTCACCAACAGTCAGTGCAACCTCACCATCAGTCAATGCAACCTCATCACCAGTCAATGTGACCTCACCACCTGTCAACACAGCCTCATCACCAGGCAACTCAACCTCAACAACAGCCAACGTGACTATGCCAACAATCAATTCCACCTCAACAACAGCCAGCACAGTCTCACCAACAGCCAACTCAACGTCATCCCCACAACCAGGAACCACAATGTCTTCACCAGGTAATGCAACTTCTGTCACTGTCACGATTTTACAGTCAGTCAAAATTTTTTGTTACAATCACACAAAAATATGCATATCTGTGAATGTAGCTTATCTTGCTCAAATGCTATATTCATTACTAATAAATATTAATTTCATTTATAGCTAATGCAAGCTCTGCACCTGTAACTGGAACATCTGCCACACCAACAATCTTAACTAGTGCCACTCCAGCTATCACCACAACGGCCGCACCATCACAGCCAGCAGTTAACCTGGATTTTAGACTAAATGAGCCTTTCCGAGACGAACTATCAAACAAGTCCTCACCTGAGTTCAAAGAATTAGCAAACAATCTAACCAAAGTGGTGAGTGTGAAATTTTCTCTGTTGCCTCTGTTTCATCTTCTTTCAATCAGACACAGGAAAACAAAAACAAAAAAAGAAAATGTGTTTATGATTTGACTTAAGATATGGACAAATATATGGAGGCAAGACATGACTATACAACATTATTTTGAGATGTAACTTTTTACAGTCGAAAACCATTTTCAACACAAAATGTGGCCAATGTCAGAAACTGCCATATTTTTCTGACTGAACAGGAAAAACCCTTGCTGTTTTCAAAAAGCAATGAACGTACATGAAAAAACATGAAGTAAAAAGTAAAATGGAGAACAAAAGAGGACACAGCTGTGCCTTCTTGCCAAAAAAGTATTTTGAAATCCTTTGTCTTCCTAATTAAAATCTATCTATCTATCTATCTATCTATCTATCTATCTATCTATCTATCTATCTATCTATCTATCTATCTATCTATCTATCTATCTATCTATCTAAACTTTATTTACAGTTAAATGCAACCTATTCAAACCGATTTGGAGACGACTTTGTAGGAGCCGTCATTGACGATTTCAGGTATGAAACACTGCTTCAATTTTACTTTGCCTGTAAACAAATAGGTAATCATAAAAATTGGAACACATTGTTCAGACTTACATGAACACATCTCACCACAAATGCTTCTTCACTAATTCTTTCATGTCTGTCGTGGAACAACTAATGTCTCATTAGACAAATATAATGAAAACATGAAAAAATGATTTACCTCTTCTGTTACAGTCAAGGGTCCATTGTGGTAAATTCGAGGCTGATATTCAATAATGCAACAACAGTACCAAATGCCACTACTGCAGTTGAGACTTTACAAACTGCTGCCTCCTCCTCAAATTTTTCTCTTAATGTCAACACAACATCAATTACAGCGAGAGGTGAGACTTCAGGGCATTTCTCAAATGTCTAATTTTCTTAATATGTTTTACAAGCACCACGCAATTACTCATTTGGTAATTGTTATTTTCAGTTGTGTTGCCACCAACTGAAGCTCCAGCCACAACTGCACCTACAACACTGGGAAATTCAACTGTATCACCAGGTAATACCATGACACAAACAGTTCAGGAAGGTTATCTCGCGTCCACTTTAACAGAACAAGTGAATTTCTTGTCACCACTCAAAGATAATGGAATTACAAGATTATCGGAGGTGTTTATCACCTCCAGTATTATGTGTCAACATGTGATTATAGATATTGATCAGTGGGAAATGTTTCATTTCATTAACATAATTAAAACAATTCCAACACCAATTAACCACCTTCACCACCTGTCAACATGACCTCACCAACAGTCAACACAACCTCATCATCAATCAATGCGACCTCACCACCTGTCAGCACAACCTCACCAACAGTCAACATGACCTCACCGTCAGTCAACACAACCTCTTCATCAATCAATGCAACCTCAACACCAGTCAACACGACTTCACCATCAGTCAACACAACCTCACCACCAATCAACACGACCTCATCATCTGTCAATGCAACCTCACTGCCAGTCAATGCAACTTCACCAT